CAGCTATGCTAGGAGAGAAGAAAAAGCAGTATACATGTGTTCCTGAAGTAACTTCAGTTAGTTTTAAAAGTAAATATATTAAAATGTATTTAATAGTATGGAACAACTTAGTTATTCAACATGATTTATATCATTATCATTGTTCTATATTAGTGATAAACAATGCAAGTTTCCTTATTTTTCTTTCTCTTACAGTAATTCAAAGTTTTTTTCTAAAGTTGTAATTTTGTATGTTTTTCAAAGGCAGTAATGTGAATAACTGGTTTTTGACACGGCGTATATTTTTGGTGGATACCTTAAGTGGACGAGAAAATGACTTACAAAGCCAGCCAAAAGTAATCCGAATTGCTAGTAAAATAGCAATAAGGTAAGGTTATATAAAATTTGGATAAGATGCTACCCAGTTGTAAATTCCCAACTTCTAATTTGAATTTTCTTTGATCCAACATTTTGCTGTGAGAAAAAATATAACTGCACAAAAATAAGATGACCCAATGCCCTGCAACCATCAAAACCCCCACATATATGCTCAAAAGGGAGCTCTGTTGAATTTATTGGGAATTATTCTGCTCTTCCTACATAAAGTGTGATCATAGGTTGAAAATGGTCCATCCATACTGACGATAATATCCTCAGTTCAAACAAGTATTTTGCCTATACATACAACGTGAGTCTAAAGGAAATTTTCAGGAAGTTATTGCTATAAGTTTTACTCTTGAAGAGGGAACTTGCCACCATAAGCAATGAAATGGGAAGCATCTTTAAAAATGCTATGATTCATATTCGGACTACAAAGCAAAAACTAATTTCATATTTGACTTGCTACAGTAAAGCCATCAGTCACTGATAAAAGTAAGTGCTGTTGATGAGACATGGGACCAGTATATCGTCTTAATTTTGCAATCTGTACTTTGTAGAAGGATGAATACAGAGAATAAGTTTGTTTTAACCCCAAACAAACACACCATGGCCAGGAAGTTTAGCCAGGTAGATTGCAGTTTTGCTAACCCAGAACCAGAATATTTCAGTTCTTCTGAATTTCATCCAAGACAAAATCAAGGGGGTTTTATCAAATAAGTGGGACAAGGCCAATGTACCACATTCCTTTCTTCTGCCCTCTTCTGTGATCTATACCCCCTGCCACCTTTTCTTCCCAGTCTCTGCCTTTGCCTATCTTCCATTAACAATAATAATAATATTTTATTATAACAAATAAACATATTTAATCATAGTTCCATAACAAAAGTTCTGGGACTTAAAAAGAGTAATGATTATTTAAAAAAGAGATGCTAGGCGCATTACATTAAGTGAATAAGAAAGCGAGTTTAAACAAAATATAGAACTGGGTGCACAGTCTATAAAGACATTACATATTGCAGATAATAATATAATGATGATGATGATGATGATGATGATGATGATGATGTTGGAAGGGACCTTGGAGGTCATCTAGTTCAACCCCCTGCTCAGGCAGGAAACCCTATACCATTTCGGACAAATGGCTGTCCAGTTTCTTCTTAAAAACTTCCAGTGTTGGAGCATTCACCGCTTCAGGAGGCAGGTTGTTCCACTGATTAATTGTTCTAACTGTCAGGAAATTTCTCCTTAGTTCTAGGTTGCTTCTCTCCTTGATTAATTTCCATCCATTGCTTCTTGTCCTGCCTTCAGGTGCTTTAGAAAATAGCTTGACTCCCTCTTCTTTGTGGCAGCCCAAGATATTGGAACACTGCTATCATATCCCCCCTCGTCCTTCTCTTTGTTAAACTAGACATACCCAATTCCAGCAACCGTTCCTTAGTTGTTACCTTACTTCCAATGGTGCCAATTGCGATTTTCTATTTAATGCTCCATTGCATTCCTTTTTGTAGCATTCGTCTTGTGCGGAACACTCAAAGGGGAGCCATCTATCCACCTCTGATAACAGTTGCCTATAGTGATGTTCTCATCCAGAATCCCAATGCTGAGAATATAATGGTAAGCTCTTCTCTGTCTCTCAGCTACATTTAACAGTAGCTTAGCCAGGCAACCAAAACAGCGTAACCAAGTTATAGTCCTGCTGAATAATGAATAATCCCACTGATAAACTGGAAAGCCCTGAATTTTGATCATTATAAAGGTTTCACGGTTAACAAAAAAGTGCTTTACATATTTTTAAGTCAGAGCTTAGTAGCAAGAAATAAGCTCTTACCTGTTTAACCCAGTTTATTGAATCGGAATAGGACAATGAACTACAGGCACATAGCTGTGCCCACTTCACTATGCCCCCCCACCACAGCTAATTTATCACAGGCATGCCAGCCGAGGATAAATGCCCGTGATGGGTCAGTTGCAGCAGGAGGTACGCCGTGAAGCAGACATGGCCAGGCAGCCACGTTCAATTGTCCTAGACCCTTACTGAATGGCCATTAAAATGAATGATTACAAACTGGTTCATCCTCACAAAATCTCCATTCTGATTTATTTAAGCATTGATCAATTCCTTGGTTTCCTATTTTTCCCATAGTTGTACTTAATACCTAGCCGTCCATCTCACGAATATGACTGAGTGCCATATAAGAAAAGTATGCCCAATAGTCTGTGATAATATTTTATGCTTCAATTTTCCATTCCCAGATTACTTTTTTTTTTGTAGACAGGAGTTACTGAGTTAGCACTTCCTACATTTTATTCTGTATTATTTTTTAAACAATCTCTCAGTACCAGTTTTACATATAAAGCCATGCTGTTTTGAAAATTCTTACCAGTGATTGTTCAAATTTCTATATTGTAGCACTATTTTTCAGACACCGTCCACTTTATCTGTGGTGTTATGACATTCTTTTGCCAAAATCTAAAGACTAACTTAGCAAATAAATGAGAAGCCAATGATGTACATTTTATTTTAAGTAATTCTATTTTATGACCCATAAACTTATGTTGTGTGGATGGTGGTGGTCAAGTACAGGTGATTTAATTAGTAAAATTATTCTTTTGACATTCTAACAATTTCACTGTTTAGGTTTCCTTCTCAGTCGACTATGAAATGAATCAATCAGAGGCTCACATTCACACTGATGTAAGCATTCTCTTCCCACCAATTTTTAATTTCTTTGGAACTTGTCTGCTCATTTCCATAGGCAAAGCCATATGATTTGCTTACTTGTTCCTGCAGATAGCACTAGGTGTTCTGGGCGGCCTGGCAGTTCTATGGTCCCTTCTCAAGACTGCTGGCTGGAAAAGACGTATAGGAAGCCCCATGATTGATTTACAGGTATGAACCGTTATCTAATACTAGATA